ATGGGTGATTAGCCTATTTGTCATTCAGAAGATATGGTTAGAAAATAGACTGATTTTCTTATATGTCACATAAATTGTCTCTGAAGGTAGTTCCATAAGGAAATTTTAACAAAGTTTTGAGCAATTGCAGTATCATGGGTGTAAGTGAAGAGAATCTCAAGATGACAGTTTTGAAAGTGACAGCGTTCATCTGGCTATTTAATTCTGTCATAAGTTTTAAAAAGCACTCATTATTAATTGTAACATTCTGGCATTGTGAAGATACAAAGGAATTTTAGGAGAACCAAAATTGAAAAATTTGACTTGGTGTGATTACCAATTGCTCTTAAAAAAATAATTGTAAATTGGCTGACATTTGCTGGAAATGGCCCATGGAATAGAAAGCTAAGTAAGGAAATGATAGCTAATGAAAGAATGAAATAAGTGAGAGCAGAAAGGGCACCTTTTAAAGACTTATTGCTGGAGTTTTGAGACAAATAGTGAGATGTAATTTTCTACTCTGGTGTCTATTTCATGCTCATATTTCCTAGATTTCTCTGGCTCAGGTTTAATCTAATAATTTTCCATCATAAAAATTATATGATCATGATAGAAAAATAAACATTTAAAGTTACTTACATATTTCTGGTTAGGTATGACAGATTGAACCCTAGCATGTATAACAACAGTGAGGGTGTAATAAAATCACAAGAACAATGCAGATGAGAGACATCAGTAAAATTTTTGGAAGACAGAACAAAAATGGACAAGTGGTAACTGACTTACTGGAGTGAATGGAAAAAGCTGACTTCTAATTTCTACAAGAAACAGAACCTAGAAATGGAGGAAATGGAGGTGCCAGATAGCTCAGAAAACTGGGATATGGTGTGGGGCTGAAAGAGAAGGTAGTTTATATTAACTAAAAAACCTATGAAACGCTAAAACTTTGTTTTATCATGGGAAGTGCAACAGCCATAGTTTTGTTTTATTTTGTTTTACATCTATAAACATATGGAAGAAGACAGAAGTGCCAANTCATCTTTAAGTAGTGAATTATATCAGAAGGAGAAAATCATTAATTTTCTCTATTGTTAATGATACCGTCACAGAAGTATTTTAAATCCTGAACAAAAGCGTAGTTGGAAAAACCATATACCTGAGGGTTGGTGTAAGGGAGTCCTAGTGAGCTGGTTTCCTTGACAATTACCATATGTTGCTGTCTTGTAGAAAGACTGCTTTCATTTGCTATCTATTAACTCAGGCTGCAGGACGAAGCCTGACTGTAGGGGCGGATGGCTGCTGCCAGTGGTTCCATGCTAGTCCTGTGGAAGAGGTGACTTCTTAATCATTTGCCTTCCTTGAAACTATGGGTGGCATGTTCTCTCCAGCTAATGAAACCCTCACCTTAATGGAATGAAAAACTGAAGACTTGGCTGTGCTTCTGTTTTATATCATTCTCAAAATTCTGTATTTTTGCAAATAAGTAACTATTATACCCCATAGAAACTCATTTTGCCCCTATGGATCTCCTGGTTTATACAATCTCTGCCTCTTCGAATCATATTGATATCCCGATGATATCAACTGCTACTAGTATAGTAGCAGTTGGAGAAATAGCAAACACTTGTATGGTGCTTACTATGTGCCAGGCTCTAGTCTAGTAAGTGTTTCACACATGTTCAGTCAGTTAGTCCTCCAGTAGTACCATTGTTACTCTCATTTTGCAGATGAGGAAACTGAGCACAGAAAGTTGAACTTGCACAAGAATTTGAAGCCAGGCAGCCTGGTATCAGAATTCATGCTATTATCCACTAGAGTCTAACCTCTCCATGGAGTAGAAGCAAATGATCATAATAGCAGGGGAGTCGGAATGCAAATATTTAAGTTACAGCTCTTCAACTTACCATTTGCAATTATATCTTCATTAGCAGTTGTTTCAGGAAGCCATGAATTGAAGATGTAATTGTTTGGTTCAAGTGAGTCTTGATTATTCGAAATATAAAATTTCCATCATTCTACAGAAAACCAAATGCCTTCTAAGAAAGCCCTGTTGTGCAACCATTTTCTCTTGGGGTTTATTTTGAGTCCTTTGTTCTCCACACAAGTGAGACTGAGGGTTGTTCAGCACACGGCATTGCCATGGCTTCTAAACTGTAACCATTTGAAATAATGTTGCTGCTTTGCACGTGGCAAGCACATGGCTCAGTTCTTATGCCCATCTTCTGCCTATGTGTAAATGGATCTGCATCTGGAGGAAATGTGAAGTTTTATAGACAAGAATAACTAAGCTGAAACATATCATCATCCTGCCAAAAGACTAGAAGATATTTGGTTGTATCCCTGCCAAGGTATACCCATCCCCCTCCCTTCCCCAACACACACACACACACACACACACACACACACACACACACGCACCCCATGCACGAAGAATAAAAGAGCTACACAGATCTAATACACTGATAAAATGTTTCTTCCTTACATGTAACAGCTATTTCAGGTATATCTCATGACTTGACTTTTTGCACCACTGGTTATCTCTTGAGTATCTTTTTGATGAGCTGGACCGTGTGTGCTCTTCCCCTGGCAGCCTTCTGCAGACATATGCTCCTCTTCCATCTTGTAATCAGTGTGATTTCAGAAAGGTTTCAGATTTCATGATTTAATTCTCTTTCCATTACAGAAAAAATTCTTTGGGGATTAGGTAAACTTTGCATTCCCTGAGGACTGAGGCAAGGTTGCTCAAGGTCCATCATCATGTATAATGCATCAGCTGCCTTAATGGCATTGTTGATTGCAAAGTAGCCTTAACTCTGTAGCCTGAAGAAAATATATTGGCCCATTACTGGTTTATACAGGTCAGGTATCTTCGTGCTGGGAGTAAGGAGAAATGAAAAGTGACAGCTGGTGTCAGCATGAGTTCCGTTTCTAAGCTCTGTTTGTAACCTATNATGAGGTAATTCAGGTATAGACCCTTGAACTAAAAAGACTAGTTATCTAGTATTCTACACTCACTCAAGACACAATGCGGAATTAAGGACAGAATGACTGCAGCATATACTCTTGTTTAAAAAAAGAGGGAAATAGGAGGTACCTACCTATCACTGGTCCTTTGAAATTCTGATATTTAGCCAGGTGTAAGGTCCCCTGTTTTGGGAAAATGGAATATATGTTGATTAAGGCTCTGTTCTGCTTCCTGGGGGTGGTTGCCTATGGTTCTTGGCTGCACTCTGAGTCACCATTTCTTTTCCATAATAAATTACCTAGGCCTTAATATAAGTATATTTCTAGGTCTTCTTCCTGATTGTAAAATATTTGAACTGACTGTCTATTTTGATCCAAACTGGTGGTGATTCCATTGGTGGTTTTCTTGTGAATCTCATCGGGATTTACCCTATTAGACAAAACCACACCCAGAAATCTTTTAGGGATAGGCCCCTCTTTACTTTGGACTGTGAGTTAAGATGCTATGGGGACAATGCCCTTAAGATTCTTAGAAGCCTTTTTATTTAGGTGAGAATGTCAGTGAGTTATGCCTTTAAATTCTCAGAAACTCTTTGGTGTAGATGAGGATCTAGCAGGCAGGCCCTGAAGAATCTTAGAAACTCTTTTATATATTGTAGATGATATTGTTTAGGCAAACAAAGCCTTAAGTCTTTCTAAGGCCTTAACAAAGGGTCTTAAATCACACCCTTGATTTGATCTTGATCTTGAGGTTACATTTTACCGGAAGCAGTTTGGCTTAGATCTTTGCTCTGAAGCTATTTCTTTGGAAATCTATTGCTGGTTCTGGATTCTTTATACATTTGTTTGTTTCTTTGTTGTGCATTTTTAGTGGGAATACTGTAAATGATGTGTTCTCAGCACATCACTTCAGGATCATGATTTGGGTTTCTTCCTTCATTGGTGATGTTAACTATGATCAGTTGGTTAAGGTAATGTCCCCCATTTTCTTCACTGGAGTTATTACTAGGATACATTTTGAATGTAAGAATTGAATGTTGTCATTTGGGTGAGAGAGTTATGCATTAGATGTCACTGCTTTGAGATGCCCATCAACATCCTAGCAGAGACTGGTTCAGAGACAGGGGTGGTGGTAGATTGGAAAGATGAAGCAGTCTTTTTCTGCTTGCATTTTATCAGGGAGTAACAGAAGTGAAGTCCTTAATAGGAAGTGATGATGAGAAAATGCTTTAGAGATTTGAGGAGAGAGAAGTTTGGAAGGGCCTTCTCAGAGTAAAAGGAAAACGTAGTGGACTATGGACAGTGTTGTGCTAAGGGGAACCACTTGATAATTGTGGTCCTAAGTTCAACGTATGACCATTCAGGAGGTTCTGTTTCCTGGGGCCAGACTTTCATTAGTAGGAAAGTTTTATCACTGTTGATATTTGGCCAAGTGAGCATAGTGGGAGGTGAAGGGGTGGGGGCAGGGAGTGGTAAAGAGGTTTAGAGTGTGTGCAAGGGAATGATTATCACGATGAATCATGGAATATAAAGTAGATTCGGTGGACAAGAGGGAGGCGAAGGATAGTGAAAAAGTGGTAAGTAGGGTCAAAGGTTTAAAAGTCTCCAAACAGTTAAAGGGAGAGTTCTAGAGAATGATGGAGAGGAGATGGTGAATGGGAGTGGGTTGCTTGAAATCAGGTTTTGGGAGGTATTTCACATATGTTCTGGTTTAATATCATACCAACTTTATGAAGAAATTTTTATGATCTCTGTTTAGACATGGGAAAATTATGTTCATAAAGGTTAAATAACTTGACCAAGGCCACACAGCTAGTAAATGGCAATGTTTGGATAGGAAGTAAAAATATTTGTTTTGGTTTTTAAACTCCAAAACCTTTGTACCATACCAGCTGCCTCTGATTTATGAGTTTTCCTCTAGACAAAGGATAATCATTATTATGACTGAAAATATTTACATTGTAATTGCTTTGCTTATTCCAGGCTTATTATGGTATGCAAATTAGAAAAAAGGCCTGAGAATACAGTTCTAATTTTAAAAACATCTCTTCCTTTAGGAAACCAGTGGCCTTCAGTGTTTGATTGAAAAGGATTTTCACTTTTATCTTTCAAAATTCACAAAGAAGCATTTATACATCAATTCTGCGCAAGCTGTGAACATGGATGAATTCTACCTGATCAATTTGCTGTAAAATAAAATTTCCCATATATTAAGGATATACTCCATGTTCCTACATTTAAGATTATTTGAGCAGATCTCTCCTTAACAATAAACAATAAAGAACTAAGGAAAAGAACTTAGGTAATTTTGGTTATCTCTACTTTGGGAGGCTTGAAGAAAACTTACTTAGGTTCTAAGTTGATGGTAGTAAGGATTTTATGCTTCAGTAGAGAAAAAAGTGACATTTTAAATAGAAAGTTTTTCAGCCTAATAATTAAACTAACAATACTTACAGACTCCTGCAATATTGCAAACAAACAAATCCAGATTGCATGGGCTCATTTTGGTTTAAATAGCAAGGAGCTCTTTCTAGAAATACTTGTAGGAAGAGGCTTGATTGAAATAGCTGCATAATTCCTGAGCAAAGAAAATTTTTTTGCTGTAATTACATCCGTGTGGTGATTCATATTCTCTTAATTCGTAGACTGTATAATTCAAAGGAAAATGTTCCCTTGATATTTGAAAACCTGGAAGACTCAAAAATTGTTTTTTTAAAAATTATTATTATTATTATTATTATTATTATTATTATTATTATTACTGCTGCTACTACAGCTGCACATTCTCTAAGGACTATTTTACATAGGAGCTTTTGATTTCACTCATGCTAGCTCCAATAATGAGGATTTACTTATGTGTCAGTGCTGGAGAAAGATCCCGCAGATACCCAGCATCAGGGATGGGCTGTTTTGGATTCAGGGACCTAAGCAGTGCAGGTTTGGGGCTTTCACTTTGGTATTCACCACTGGCACAACTCAGTTTTACTCAAGTGTCTGCCTATTTTTTATTTTTCTCTTTCCTCAAACAGCTGAATGATTTTATTTTGAGTTTACTAGTTCAGGTTTCCAAGAGAAGGAAGCTGGTTGGCTGTGCTAATAAACCCTGCTTCTGTATGGTAATTTTTCTCTCCCACTTCGGGGGAAGTTGTTTGAGACCAATAGTAAAGTTAGGGGGCCATCTTTTGCCAACATCTGGCTGGTACCTTTCCTGTTTGAGATATGGCCTTGGATACACAACAGGGTGGGATTGGACGGTGGAGCCATGCCAAGTTTTGCTCAAGGCAGAGCTTTACCACGCAGCTTCACTATTTTGTTAGAAGCCTTTAGAAATTTGTGAAATATCTGACATAGCCATGATAAAAAAAATAAAAAAAGACAACTGTCGGTTGGTTGTACACCAGCTGTTCTCTCCACCACTCTCCTTCCCTCTAATGTTGTTCGACTCTTTCTGAGCAGTTATGATGTTCATCAGAGGCCCTGGAGGAAGAGAATGTTGATTGTTCAAAGACAGATGTCCTTGTCAAAGGATTAGTTTTGGTGTGGCCAAGTAATGTAATTCTGGCAAAGTATGCTTGAGAAGATGAAATGCTAGGGACTTGTTGTGAAGAGTTTGCCGACTTTTGAAAGAAATACAGAGTTTCATGGGGATGTGAAATACAGTCTGGGCAATATAGTCAATAATGTTGTAGAGACTATATAGGGTGTCAGATGGGCACTGGACTTATTGGAGGGGTAACTGCATAGAATGTGTAGATGCCTGACCACTGTACTGTACACCTGGCGCTAATATAAAATAATATTGAATGTCAACTATAATTAAATATATATATTTATTTCTGTCTCTGGGATTTATTTCTGATCACGGGATGTAAAATACAGCAGAGAGAATATAGTCAATGGTATTATAATGGCGTCAGATGGGTAGTAGAGTTGTTGGGATATCATTTTGTGAAGGGTATAAATGTCTATTATGCTGTTTTGCATACTTGAAACTAATAATAAAAAAGGGAAAAAGAAATACAAGGTTGTTTTTTGTTTTGTTTTTCTTTTTACCTTGGTATACTTTTATTTTCATGAGATACTTAGAATTGCAGCAGCCATATTAGAATCATGACAGGAGCCAGATAAGAGAACAGGTCCCCCACCGCACTGATGTCAGAGCAGAAAGGTGAACATATTCATGGTCTCATTAATGGTGCTGAGCCAACACACGAACCAACCCTGGAGGTGCCCTGATGTCAGGTGGGAAATTAGTTTGATGCAATGGTAACCTACAAGTATACTATTAGGCATGCTGTCCCAGAAGTAAGGGAATGGAAAGTCCTCAAAGACCAAATTAAAATCTTCAAATCACGTGGTTTGCTAAATCAATTCAAAGCACATGGCAAGAAGCCAGAGCAGAGAACTGGTAGGTTAGAACATTTTGGGTAGGGTGCAAGTGGCGTGGGAGGACCATGCCAGCTAATCCTGGGCTCCACTGGGTTCATATTGTCTTGCTTTTCTCTCTACTGCATCTACCTTCCCTGCTGATAATGTGGTTTCAAGGACTAGAGATGAGATTTGGGCAAGCCCCATATATGGAAGATGGCCAAGCTAATGACCTAATGACACCCACATGCTATGTGAGATACACCGCAATGAATACACCTGGTCAGGAGCTGTAGCTTGCCAATTCACTTGATGAACAGCCATGAATTTTATTTGTGTTTTTGGGCCGAGAAAACATTAGGCAGAAATGGGTGTCAACAGAAGTTCTTAACTAGGGTGATTTTATCCTCCACACATTTGGCAATATCTGGAGACATTTGATTGTCATGACTGCTGTGTGTGTGTGTGTGTGTGTGTG